GCACCTTTCGCGTGTTCGAGGCACCTGAGCCGATCCTCTATTGCTTGCATGGTTACCGCAGATCCGTCGGTGATCTGCATGTGGTATTTCTCTTGGCTGCTGCCGAATTCGGTTCGAAGATCTGCTTCAGTGGACTCATTTGCCCTCTCTATGCGTTCGTTCAGCTCGTTGGCGACAAGGTCCACCTTTTCTGATTGTCCTTCTAGCTCTGCCTTGAGGGAGTCGTTTGTATTTTCGATATTGTCTAGTCTCTGAATTATTTCGTTTGCCTTTCCCTCGGCCATGAGCCTCAGATATAGTATCTCAGCGTCATGCCTGGCTCGGACTTTTGTTGCCTTCAGTTGCATGGCCCTATGCCTATCAAGGCCTGCTTGATGTATTTGTACCATCGTCTGGTTCGTTTGGTCTTGGACTTTGTCTACATATTTTTGTCGCGTTATCGCATCTGATTCTGTTTTGTTGCGAAGGGAGTCCACCATGCGCGTAATATCTTGCAGAACAGCTTCAGAGACCTTTTGCGTAAGTGCTATCTCCCTTTGCTGCTGATTATGTTCCACCTGTTTCGCATGATGACAGAATTTGGCCTGGAGATCGCCCATTTCGACCACAAGCTTTTGCACTTCGCCACGCAAATAGTGTTGATCGTGTTGTAGCTTGTCGTAATCTGAAGCCAAGGAAGCGGTCTGATTTCTTACATCGTCAAGGCCAGTTTGTAAACGGGGCAGAAGGTCCTCAATGGTCGCAAGCCTGCCGCTCTGCGAACTCTGAACAGCTGAGAGATCGGCCACAGCCTGTTGAACTGTGAAAATGTTGGTTCGAATGCTCTGGTGGATTTCTGACATGCACGTGTCTCTCACAGCCTGCACCCAGAGAAGTCCCTTTTCATCGATCCGTTTAGAAATGCTCTCTCCCATCTCAGCCTGCATCTCGGTAATTCTGGCTTGGATCTCGTGGTTTACATGAGATTGGACAATTGTCGAGGCTTGTGAACTCTTAAGTTGGCTTCCTGTCTCAAGCTCCCTGTAGCCTATCTGTCTCCTTTCTTGCACCCTTATTACTGTGTCGGTGTCATTGCTTGCTTGCGATGTGAGAGCGCCTGTTGTTCTCTCTCGTTCGTGACGATGAGCAGATGAGGCTTCTGCACTCGGATATGGGCCTGAGGCGGGTGATGAATGGCTGTTCGTCATTTCGAATTCTGTGTTCTCTATCAGTGGTTCTGATGGTTGATGTACATTGACACCAGCTTGACTTGTGACAACCGGAAAGAATGCGGCAGCTTCCTCTTTAAACAATTGCCACCTCGCGGCCTCATCGTTGTACTTCTCACTCCAAAGCCTCGTGACACGCTTAGGAGGCGGCTCGCTGCTTGATGTCCGTCGAAGATGTTGGATGAGCATCTCGGAAACTGTTTCGCGAAACTTCGCCACACGCTCAGTGTGCTTGCACTCCGGCTGCGTATCGCGTGCCGCTTGAAGCTCGAGTCTGAGGATTTGTTCCTCTGAGCAGCTACAATTTCGATCATCACTAGACGCAGTAGTGGATTCATCATGGCCCCATGTGAGAAGACCTTCCCATGTCCGCACAACCAGCCCATTAGACTCATCGTTCCCATGAAGAAAGTTTTCCGCGTCTCCCGGGTCTAGACATACAGTCTTGCTATCTAGATTCCCTTTCG